TTAGGGTTTAATATAGGGGTCTGAACAATAGGGTTTCGGGTTAGGGTTTAATATGTGGACCTAAACAATTACCTATACTATTTTTGGGGGGGGTTCCTGATTAGAATTATAGTATAATATACCCGCAGACCCTATTCTAATTATAAAGTAAGGCCTCTACATTATAAGGGTTCTGGGCTTTGGGGGTTTAGGGTTCAGGGTTTTGTAGGGGTTTATTTAAATGTTTCGACGGCCAGACTGGCGTTTATGGACTGCTGCCAGCATGCCGAAGTCTAAGCCGTTAAGACTCAACTATTCGACGCTAAACCAAGAAGCCCCAACACATTAAGCCCAAAGCTGTGCAAACATGGGAAAACTTGCATCTAATCGAAGTTCGCTGTTGTTGCCTCTTCCTACAATGCTTTCAGCTTCAGTTTCTTGTTGATCACCTGATTTCGGAATTGATTTTCGCACCCTACCCTTCAAGCAGGTTAACGGAAAAGGAAGTGCATTGGACCTTATAGGTTGGTTGCAGTACCCCTGCCCATGATCCCGATAGCCCAGACACGACGTCACCAGATAGAGCAGCTTTTGTGCAGCAGACGACAAGATTGACAAGCGGGCCCACGGACAGCCCTACCACCCTTACAAGTGTTGGGGTTGCGCAGTGGGGTTTAGGTTTATGGACAAAAAGCCAACAACAGAAGCTCCGAAGCTGCCAAGTCTCTGCACGAATGTTACGCCTCAAGCAGCTGTGCCCTTGAAGCCCTTGTGGCTCAGAGGCCAGCCATGTCAACCATGAGCCATGGGCCCTGAACAAGAGATCTTCGAAGCTGCAAGCCAAAGCAACTATAATCGGACCTAATCAGCGCTTCGCCAGTCTGGAGATGTGGCAGCCGTGGAGGAGCTGCTGCGGAGAGACGGGGAGGAGCCAGTGGAGGAGGACTGAATGTGGGAGGGCATGCTTTGGAAGTATCCGAGCTTGAAAACTGGCGGTTAATGAGAGGGTCTGGGGCGGGTGGCGAACCTGCACTCTGCGTAAAGAGTGTTGAGAGATAGAAGGACAGAGAGAGCGAGAGAGAGAGAGAGAGCGAGAGAGATACACTTACCCCGAGCAAAGCAAAGCAAAGAGATACACAGAGACACACACACACACACTTGCTGTCCAGTCATCTTTATCTACATGGATGCCGTTTGTGCTAGATCGTTGCAGTGCTCACTCTTATGCAGGTCCGTAGAGCGAGCGTCCCCGCTCCATTTCCTGATCACAGAGCTTCGTGGCAGAGGCTGCTTCCAGGGTCCCTCTCCCTCTGCTGTCACAGCTTGGAGGTTACTTTGCCTACATCCTTGGAGACAGGTTTCGCGGCGACGCGAGAACACACCCACACACACGTATGTTCGTGGCAGGGCTTTATTATGGCAGCCGAAATTTATGATTAAGGGAAACTTGCCACAGGTCCTTCAGTGATATAGTATGACTGCCATAGTTTACTTCAGCCTTTTCTGTGCCTCACATATTCAGTTCCCTAAGTGATAAGTATTCTAAGTTTATTATTTTTATATTTTCTTATAGATACACGACTTCTCATAGTTGACTTAAGGTGTTGCAGGATTTTGCACAGAAGTCGCAGGAGTGGCAGCGTCGATATTGTGATTCTGCACGCATCTACTGGGACCAGCCGCTGTGGCTGCACACATTTGGGATTTTGGAATTGTTTGCAGGTTTAATAGGTAACTTAGTAGTTTGGGCACATAGTGGCCTTTTTGGCGCCACCGATTCTTCACTACATGAGAACCTTAGCTAGTTGAATTTGCCCTACATAGACCAGTCCAAACGGGCCCACCATCGGGATGTTTTGCGGAAGTTTGTTCTTCTTTATGTGAGTTCACCAGAGCGTCCGCTGCCTTTTCGATGCTTTGGATATGATGTGCGGCAGACACCAGAGGTAGCCTTAAGGCTTAGGATTTATAGGATTTTAGCTTGACAAAGGTTTTGCATGCAGGCTAGAACCGAGTGATCCATTGAAAACCCTTACAACTGATGGAGCAGTGCTTGTTGTTGTGTCGTGTGATTTCGGGAGTGTTCATGAACTTGACGAAGCACATCCGGCGCGTATGCATTATTCTGTTTATGTATGTATGTACGTACGTATGTAGGTATGTAGGTATGTAGGTATGTAGGTATGTATGTATGTATGCAGGTATGTATGTATGTATGTATGTATGTATGTGCGTATGTATGTATGTATGCATGCATGTATGTATGTATGCATGCATGCATGCATGTATGTATGTATGTATGTATGTATGTATGTATGTATGTAGGTCTGTAAGTGTGTCTGTATGTGTGTCATTATGTATGTATGTATGTATGTATGTATGTATGTATGTATGTATGTATGTATGTGTGTGTAGGTGTCTATGTATATACGTATGTGTTTATGTATGTATTATGTATGCATGTATGTATGTATGTTTACGGAAGGAGTGTTGTTGTTTTGCTGTTGCTGCTTTTTTGTTGTTGT